CGCGCAGCTCAATTGTAGTAATCGGTTGCTTGTGACTCTTTCCCTGTGATGAGCTGGGTCGCCATTGGTCGATTCGTCGACACAATCTGAATCACAACTGGATAAAATTACGCTCGATCTCAGCAACCTACGAGTAATTTGCCCAATTTAGAGGAGGCGGAATTAAAGTGACATAAGTTGCTAAATAAATTAGTTGCTGTGTGAGTTGTTGAGTGAGACGTATGATGTTTTGATTCAAGTTTTTGAACACACCAAAATTGGTAAAGAACTTGTTTTAGGCCTTGAGACTTGACTAGTTGATTGTCATTGTTCGTGAAACCTTTGCCTTGTAGTTATTACTGCTATTTTCAAACCAAACTGACTTAATTATAACATTTTGGAATATTTGTAATGCCCTTAAAATTCGCATGGTGATAATAGATTTATTAACTTTTTAAGCCCAAAGCCATTGACTGATTAGATAAATGAAACTTATCAAATAAACCCGTATTGTGTAACCGATAGGATTTTAAATTTATTAGATGCGATTATCATGTCTGGCTGTCAAATCGGAGATTCGTGGTCAAGAAGAGACTACATTAACTAAAAATAACTCACATTTAAAGTATTTATGACAAACGCGAACGTTAGAAACGCCAAAATTTAAAATAATAGATTTACCTGATGTAAATGCAACAGTTTTGTAGTAGCTAATTTGAAATTCCTAATTTAGATGTTGTTTGGAGATTTTTTTTTTGTTTGGAGGTTCTAATGCGCAAAACCTCACACAAAGCTTTTCTTCCAGGAGCAACGACGCAAATCGTATCCACCCATCTTATTTATTTAAGCCGAAGTGCGGGAGCTACATTTTCACGATATCCGTGACCTCACATTCAGTTGTAAGGGAATAGCGTTCTTTTATTCTCCCCCTGAGGGTTCCTTCTTGTTTGAATATCAATTCCGCCTCGTAGCAACCAAGGGCTAAATGTAGATCTCACAAATTACGCACTTTTGCGTGTGTAAACTGTGTGGATTGTTTTGCAACTATCAAAATTCGAAGCTGTGTAAAATTAGAGCTGCGTTAAACAATTCTCAATGGTGTGTTTATTGATCTAAACGAAAGAAACATCTAGGAAGCGGTTTTAAAGAAATCAACATTACATCATTTTTAAGCTGATATTCCTGTTCTAACAGTTGTACTTATGTTGTACTAAACGCACTGATGGACCCGCCCACGAATCCCGCAGACGATAATACTCTACGTGTATTTAATCGTCTTTTAGTAGCTAAATTAATTAATTCGAAAATCCAATATAATCGTAATCGAATAATCGAGAAACGTGTTCTTTGTTCGAGATATTTTGATTTTTTGTTTAATAAAGATCAAGGTGCTATACGAGGTAACTGACAGTGCCGGGTGGGTCAAGACCGTTCAAAATCAGGTAACTAATCATATTTAGCTGTGATAATAGGTTTCATTTACGTAGCACATTCCTGCATAAATATCAAGAACCTGTTGGTATTCCGTCGTGTCTCATCGCTGAACTAGATAACGATACTCCGCCTTTATCAAGTAATAGGTCACAGTTCAAATATCGTTGAATATGCAACAACAGCTCTCCCGGTAAACAATGTCAACAAATAAAATTCATTCGTTGTTACGAGCAACGAAAACAAATCTCGCCGGTTGCACGATGACATCATCAAGGTCAGCCAGTACCGGGGCCCGCCATTATATTAATATCCGAGGCTCCTCGTGCCTCTCTTCCTAACATATAGCAACATAAACACGAGTGAAGAGGACAGATATATAACAAAATGGTTCTTACGCAAGCTGCGCAAGAATTCTTTCTTGGCGTTTGCAGTAATTAAGCCTTTGGGCATCAACAGGAATGGCCGGTACGGAATAACTTAAAAACAAAATTATAAAGGATAATAAAAAAAATAATGAAGTGAACCACATTACCCGTGGTAAATCGATCAACTTCGTGGCAATTTTTTTAGATATTTGGCCTGAGGTACATAACGTAGAGTAACAACTACTTTAAAACTAGGTGTTAGGTACATACAGTGAAATCAATATCAGTTTAAACTACAAAAACGTTTCCAACTTGGATGTGACCGTTCCAAAACACTGTGATGTCATAATTTCCATTACAAATCCTAATAAAACATAAATGCACCGACATATCTGAATGTAAATAGAAACACGTTTTTCTACTTTGATTGCTCATTAGAGGCACCTAGAATTGTCTATCCGTAGTAGACAATAGCCATCAATTGTTAAGTTCATGAATCATTAAAATGCTATTATAAGTATTAATAGAAATAATACTTTAATCTTATTCCTATTCCGGTACGTAATACAAGACATCACTTAAAAATAGTGATGTGACACCTTGAATGAATGACAGAAATGTATCATTCGTTCTTTTGGTCAAAATAAACGATATCAATTCAAAATCTTTGGATTGGTAACGGATATTTTCTCTATTGATTTGGATTAAAATCGGCTAAAACGACAGTTATTCGATATCACAATCTGATACTATTAATCACATGGATACTTCTCAGGTGTAAAATTATCCTTTGTTTCTCAAGTGACCTTGCGGTCGATCTGTGGCTGACAGTACACAATACTTACAACAGAATGTCCAAGTTATAATTATTTAGTACAATGACCGGTCGTTTACTAATTAACACAGATTGAGGTGTTATATTTTAGCTCCATTTTAATTGGTTATCGAATTGTATCGTTATGAAATAAATGTGATAATAGATATGTATTTATAAATCAGAAAAAATCTGTTAAGTTTATCCATCAGTTTTACAATTTTAGTCATTAGGTAGGTAAGTACTACTAGTATAATTAAATATCATATAAATAAATAACATATAGTTTTATTTTCTGTGTCATAAAGACCTAGATGGACACATGGCTTAACTAAGATTAAGCTTGAATCTAGATTTCCGCTAAAAGAAGTTTATAGCAGCAAATGGACGTCTAAATATAATTTCAAGTTATAATTTCCGAGAATTCTCAATCTCATAATGACATCACAGACAGTAGATGGATGTGATGTCACGTTGCCTGAGACCGGATATTTATCTCAATTGGTTACAAGCTTGTATCAGCTAAAGAATCTGTAATTCATGCCTACACAGTCTGTGATAATGACAGCTAAATTAGATTGGACTCGCTCTAGGGATTTATGGGATTTATGTTTAAAACTATCTAAGAGCCTCGTAATGGCGTATGGCGCCTTAATTGTTATAAAAATGCATTTTTCTATTTATTATTATTACAGCTTTTTATGTTTTGGAGTAATTCTATACTATTTATAAAACGCAAAGCAATGTTTAGTTTCCAACGATAACATCTGAATACCGTCATAAAAGTACAAAAACATGTGAAATTCAGTATTTTAAACGTGGAACCAATAAACGTGGGCGCGCTGTGTCCTAGGTCACCAATGGTGCCGCAGTGCTCATAAAACCAGTCTAGCGCAGACCGATCGATACCTGGATCTAGAATTTCAGGGCTTACGAGGCCGAGACCTAGACTAGCAGGCGGCTAATAAAATTTATTGTTTAGTTCTAGGAAATTGATACAGTTGTCGCGATAGTGAACTTTTTTGCGGACTGCACGTGTAGCATTATTTATTCCGTCCATATGATGTATTCCCAATCAATGGTCCGTAGAATCAATTACTGGTGTAGGCCATTCGCTCGAAGCAATATGTTATCGATCGCAGCGTCATCCTTGTGCTGTTATTGCTCCAGATCGAATAGAAGTTTTATGAGACTTTTAGACACATATAACTTTCAGTTTGATTATCTTATGTAACTTCGGAATGTTATATACGCATAAAATGTAATGTGTCTATAAAATTGTTTTGTTTCGTCTTAGTTCTACATAAGCTGAACGTTCATATAAAGTACTCGATCAGTGATAGGAGCGTTAGTGTACCAGTAGGTATTTCAGTCAGTGTGTTAAGAATTTCACACGACCTCTTATCTCATAGGATATTTTTAATCTTTGTAAACGTATGAAACGGCCGCGAACGACCGTTTCGCGTCATCGCGGTATAATAAATTTTATTTTTTCGGCTTTTCATTTCAGTGAGTGTTCGAAACTTAAAGTATGTTATACAGTAGCACTTGCAAAAAATACAATGTTGTATCTTCAGTCGTGTACAATACATTGCTATATTATTACCACTTGAGAGCTATTTGGCCCATCAATCAGTACGAGTTACGAAAGAGCCGGGAAGGAGAGCGTGCGATGATCCCGAGTTGACCGACTCGCCACGCACTGCTCTATTTTCGTTCGGTCAATCGGTCGGGACATCGACTCTCAGTATCGATTGACTTCGATTTATCAGTCTGACGAGAGACGAGAAATGTCCTGCACAATTATATCACTAGGTACCTATTGTACCTAACTACTTATATGCAATTAAACTAACAAATGCAACTGTTCCAAATTGAAAGGAACAGGGAAAACTTGATATCTAAAGTAATTTATTGAATTTTGTTAATTTCCATCTATCTATATTTACCTTTTCTTTGGATACGTACATCAACTTACACTTAATCTGTTAATCTGCATTAGTTTTATCTTAGAAATTAGAAGCCGTAAACATAATCATCATTCTTGTATTCACCTTGAGATTATTTTGTATCATATTGAACTTCGTACCATAGAAATTGTAAGCATTCGTAGATAAAACTACATTCTTTGTAGGTAAAACCTAAGTATTGTAGATGCACGTATTATAATATTGTCTGGTCACTGGTCACCACACTATCACTCTGTCCTGTTCTTTTAACGTCAATTATCAAATAACAGGTATTTTTGAGTAACCTAATACATATCACAGTTCACGTCACCATTAAAGCTAGACGTAGCAGTAAAGAGCATGGATTTAGTGAATTTTTATTATGAAAATACCTAATCATTCAAACAATTTTGTAAAAATATGAATAATTTTTAAATGTATTTCCACGCTTTCCGATAGACAAGAACCTTGGTGAGTTCTTTTATTTTGTATTATGTACTTTTTCTTACTTTTCACATTTATTGCGTGTACCTTTGAACATTGTAAAGAGATGTCAAATATTTGCCACTGCAATAGTTATTACTATCTATTATAATAATTACTTGTTATATTACTAGCGTTAGGTTGTAAAAACCTAAAGAATTAACATGTTATTTAAGTTATGACACAAGATTATCATGATGGATGTTCTATAACCTTCCAATGTTTACAAAAGTAGCTAAACATTGGCAGGAAATAATGTTCATAGCAAACCCACGTACCCCATGAACATGTCGAGCGCCGTGGGTGTTACCAGGGTAAATAATTTGTACCTTTACGAAGTGAGAATTATTTCTGAATTAACTGGTTATGTTAACCGGTGTTCGCAAAGCGTGTTCAGTTATAGGTACCTACGTAACTAGTGACTTCATAGTCCACGCAAAGGCTGGATAAGCTTACCTTGACCGGACTAGTTACTGTTCTGCTATGAAAATCAATAAAAAGGCGGCACTCCGTGTCGAGCGAACCATATGAAATATTGTTCTTTTGTTAACGAGAATTCGATAAAATTAGTCTAATATCACAACTTTAGGTTCTGAATAGGTTTTATTTTATTCTTTACTATAATAATAATTAGGGTATTCTGTCGTTCGATACTTTTTGTTTTTATGTGTAGTTTTACTAATTTGTGATATCTAAGAAAACGTATTCACGAATCCATACGGATGTAATACTAATACTGAAACAAATACCTAATGTAAATGATTCTCAATATATGTAGGTATATGTATTAGTGAGGTCTCTTGATCGTTAAAGTTTATGGCCCATCGAAATTTCATTACAATATATTATTTACTATCACAAAGCCAAGTTGATAAACACATAATTTACGAGGAAGCTGTAACTTGTGTTTCTCGAAATGACCGTAAAACAGCTAGGAAGGAACAAATTGTTTAACCGTATAAATGAAACATGTTTACGGAATACACGTAAATAGTTAGCACACAAATTAATAATATAAGGTAAAATTAGTGCCAATAATAAAAAAAAAATATAAAAGTAATAAACAATTTAGTTATTTTTTTATAAGGACCGCGATTAGGAATAGTGATGTGCCAATACTAATCGACTAAAATTCCAGGGGCGTTCCGAAGCATCGGCGAGAAGACTGCTTCCCTTTTCGACCGTAAGAAAAAGGATGCCGAGCAAGCTGCCGTCGAGAAGGCACAGGAGGTCGCTCATGTCGTAGAAGACCAGGTCAAGAAGGCCGGTGAGATCATCGGTGGAGCTCAGCAAACCGCTACCAATGCTGCAGGCACAGGTACCAATTTAACATTATTAATTTTGATATGGGACAACAGAGAACAAGTTAGTTTCATATAGATCTTGGTCTTTATGCAATAGCACAAAAGAAAAGCTTTAACCCGTCGAGCGTCCGCGTTCCTTATGAATTTCCTTATCCTTATGCATGCAAGAAAATGCATTTATTTGGCCATTGGCACACGAAAACAAGGATCATTACAATAGAGGTAGAAATAAAAGAAATATAGTCAAAATAAAAACAAAACATTAATAATAGATTTTATAAAAGAGAAAGCAGCATGGAGCATTTTTTCTTATGATCCACCGGGTGCTCATAAGAACGTTCGAGGGGTTAAATATTGTTTCTAATCTATTTTCCGTTTGACATGTGTATATTCATATACAATTTTATTATCACGGCGTTCATCCGGAGCGCCGCTTTATGAAACTTGAAATATCATTCTCTGACAAATCTGATATCAATCAATCATCAATAACTAGAAAACAGGTTGATTCATTTGTCTAGGCTTCAATAAGTTTAAATGAAGATGGTAATTGGGTTTGCAAACATAGGTACATATTTTAGGTGATTACACGCTCAAATTAAAATCAGTTCTTAAAGTTACTGCGACTCTTTATTGCATATTAAGTGTGACTAGACTGCATTATTATTCACATGCTGAATCCGATCTGATTGATGACATTAATTACCCTTTCGCTGCTTTTGAATCACGAAATTTTAAATGTAACTAATGATATCAATAAATGGGGAAAGAAAAATAGGTATACATAATATATCCAGATCCACAGGGATGATGGATCTACCATGTCCTCGGTTCCACTACGAGTGCCCAGAGGAGTCCCGCAGGGATCGATACTTGGGCCGTTGCTGTACATCCTTTACAGCGCTGACATCGCCGGATCCTTTATTAATTGTATGTACCACATGTATGCAGATGACATCCAGCTGTACATAACCTTCAGGGGAGATGATACGGCTATGGCGGTGCGGAGGGTAAATGAGGATCTGAAACGAGTAATGGAATGGTCTGAGAATAACTCCTTGGTTTTGAACCCCTTGAAATCCAAGTTTATGGTGATAGGTACAAGGAAACAGGTCGCAGCCATATTGTCGGCCAATCCAGTAATTATGATAAAAGGGGAAAAAATTGAACGAGTTGAGCAAGCTTGCAGTTTGGGCTTAACCCTGGATCCAGAGCTGCGATTTGAGGCTTATATAAAAAATGTGGCAAGGAGTTGTTTTTACAGGCTGAAAGTATTATACAGCATACGCAATTTCATAGGGCTTCCTTTAAGAAAACAACTGGTAGACTGCCTGATCCTATCTAAACTTAATTATTGCGACACAGTCTATGGGCCCTGCCTACTTGCAAGGACTGAAAGGTTGATCCAGCGAATCCAAAATGCCTGTGTTCGTTTTTGTGTACAGATACCATGTAGACATCATGTGACACCATACATAAATAGGCTCAACACGCTAAAGATGGCTGCCAGGCGTTGGTCTCATCTGGCAAGTCTAATGTTCGGAATTATAAAAACCCGCAAGCCAGAGTACTTATATGAAAAACTCACTTGGCGTCAGACTCGGTATGATTCCGGTCTCCGTTCTGAGGTAGATCCGCTAAAGATACCGCAGCACAGGACAGCGGCTTTCAGGGGCAGTTTTAAATTTGCGGCGACTCGCTGCTGGAATGATCTCCCACCACCATTAAGAGTCCTAAAAGCAACACAGTCGTTTAAGTACCAACTTAAAAGAATGCTACTGCATCAACAACTTTCTCTCCAATAACTTTGTCTTTAGCAAGATTTTGTTTAATTTGCAAGGTGTGTATGTATGTACGGGTGTGGGGTTTGTTTTGGAGAGGAGGTTTTTGATCTTATTTACTGGCATTTTATACATTGTTGTTGTTTACCACATGAGTCCTGGCCTGCCGCCACGGGTGGGATCTCCAGCTGGGCGTCGCTGGCGCGGGTCGCTGCCTGTTGCCACGTGTCCGCTGTGTCCTGGTGCTCGCGGCGTATCTGTTTTTGACTTAGCTTGGCCGTCCACAGTGTCCTGTGTCTCTTGTCCTGCTCCGGTACTGGTATGTGGTACCGGTTCAGGAAATCCACCTAAAATACATATCACAGGATATTAGGTAGTGACTCACACTGACTGCATAATACTATACCTCTAGACTATGGTGATACCATGTACGTTACTACAACTTATTACACATTATTACATAATATACATTGATACAATTTGTTCCTAGTATATCTACACTTCACAACTATTAATGCACACATTTATTTATTTATTTACTTAATATCTTACTTATTTATTATTACTCGTTTGTTTGTTTAGATTGTTCATACTATAATTATACACACTCACTATATTATCAGCATGTTCTCCAAAAGCGCCGCGCGGTGCGGTGGTTGATCAGCGGCGTCTCTGCTTTGGTTGCACTTTCTTTCAAAAACACCATACACCACAAAGACCATTATAACGTTATTTTACTGTAATACACATTCAGATGCCGGTTTGTATAAACGGGGACGCCATTACCGCTTACCGGTACCTACTGCGTCGTCGCGTGCGCTTGAGGTTATTAGCGAATGTGACATCTGTGATTTAAATGTCAGTGTCAAGCATGCATTTAGTTCGCGAGATTTATTATTAATTACTTATTATTATTTTTTT